AAAAAAAAAAACAATTTTTATCATTGTTCATAAAACTATTGAGTTTATTTTTAAGTCTCAAAAGTTCAAATTGCTTAATTTTTTTTTAAATGGAACGCCAAACTGTTGATAAAATTTGTTTCTGAAACTTTCTGCAGACTGGCGATCAACCTTCTTATACTTGCAGATGGATTGCAGTATCAGATGTACCTACTATAGACGTGTAAACAGTGACCTAAAGTGAATTAGAAATTTGCTTTGCCGTTTCACTTTTTACATCCTTCACGTGTATTCAAATTTTGCTCATCGTTTAAGAAACACTTTTTTGCTGCACTATTTTTTTCCTTTCTTTTCCTTGAAATAATTTAATTAGTTGTTATTAAATTTTGTCGACCTATACAATGATGAAATGTGGAGAAATAAGACGATCAAACAACAGTTCAGTTAAGCAACAAAATGCTGCATTACTTCTTTTTTTTTTACCTTCTATGCACCAAAACAAGAACAGATGTTCATGAGACAAAAAACTTCGAGTTAATGGCAACTTTTCTTTCATTATTTGTCTATTATCTGCAATCTTATCAATCAATCCAGAAAAAATGTTTTAGAAAAGTTGATATTGATCTTTTCTAAACTGTCTTTGTCATACTGAAATAGATTATAGGTACTTCATGAACCAGAATGACAATAGCTTACAGTTTTGATATATCGTCCTCATCGCCGCTAAATTTCTTTCGGGTTTTGAAAAAATGGAAAGGTAGCGTTTGGAAAAGTGTCGGTGTTGAGCTTACTGTTTGGTTGATATTATATTTTACTATTGCTGTCATTTATCGAAAATTTTTGACTCCAGATGCTCAAAGGTAATTGTTGAATTCAGATATTATAATGCTAGAATAATTGTTTGCAGCAAACAAATGAAAAACTGAACTCTTTTGCATTCAACTACTTATTTTTAGAGTTTTCGAAAATTTTGCTTATTATTGTCGATCCGGTGTTTCTGATATTCCGCTAACATTTATGTTAGGATTTTTTGTCAATTTAGTGATACAACGGTGGACTGATGCTTTTAAAAATATGGGATATCTTGAAAAGTAAATTTTATTCATTTATCAGTAAAATCTAGTAAATCTTAAGATAACAAAAATTAATGGTTATTCTAATTGATAACTCTGAATTTTTTTTATAATTCTTCTAATCGGTATCAGTATATTAGTAGCTTTGACAGTAATTAAGACTTTGGTGAATTGGACTTTCCTCTTTTGCTATGTTACAGTTGTAAACCTAAAAATTTCAAATCCATTAAATAATTTGAATCAATAAATTTTAGTCAAGCAATCCATATTAGTTCGATGATTCTGGGAAAAGAAGAAGATGCTCGATTACTCAGACGAACAATAGCCAGATATCTTTGTTTGGCTCAGGTGCTAGTCTTCAGGGACATTAGTGCGAGAGTTCGTAAAAGATTTCCCACCTATGAAAGTGTCGTAAAAGCAGGTTCAAGTTTTACCCAAACGTAAAATTTCTTGTTGGTTTTTACAAATGTTGTTTCTCACAGTGATTTATATACACTGAAGAAAGAGATTGCAGTAATAAAATAGTTATTTTATAAACTAATAAAGTTTTAATTGAAATGTTTGTAAATAATTCATTAAGCATTTATGATTCCTAGTGAGTTTTTTAAAACAAATAATTGTTACCTTACACCTGAGAATAAATTATTTTTAAACATTGTAGGTTTTTTGTTAGAACATGAATTGCAAAAAATTGATTCCTATCGGCTAGATTATGTCAAATACTGGGTTCCAATCAACTGGGCATTTGCGTTGGTTATTAAGGCGAGAAAAGAAGGAAAAATATTTGCAGAAAATTATGCTGTCAAGATTTGTGATGTAAATAAATTTTCTTTTTACGATATCTTTTTGGCCAAAAAAAATGGCTGATCAAATAATCAAAAAAAAAAAAATTGTTTTAATATTATTTTTTCAAGAGTAAAATGTTACACTGCAATTTACGTTTCTTAAATTTCTGTTAATAGTCAACGTATTTCTGAGTTCTACAGGAGATAAGAAATTTTCGAGGAAATTTGCAAATGTTATGCAACTATGACTGGGTGGAAATTCCATTAGTCTATCCTCAGGTTAATCTTACTCTTTCAGTTTGGTGTCGTTTGTTTCTAATTTTGCCAAAGAAATTATTTAAGTGACGGTCAACTGTATTACATCTAATCAAATTTGAGGTAGTTTTTCTCGCTGTACATACTTACTTCACTATCTGTTTATTTGGACGACAGTTCATCACTCGACCAGGATCACCAAATAAAGCTCAGGTACAGTGACCATAATTTTCTTTTTTTTTCACTATTATTAGATTATTGAAAATTTTATTTAAAAAAAAAGTTGTTGTTGTGTAATCAGTTTGGAAGGTAGCGTAAATTAGTTACGAATAATTCAGACTTCGCAGGAAAAAAATGTTTCTTGTTGATGTGAATTTAGAACAGTCAATTGAACACAGTTCCTCAATTTCTTCTATACAAACTAAAATACTAGGTATATTTACACTGGCAAAATCATAAAAAAAAAAAAAAAAAA